ATATGCAGTGGAATATTACTCAGCCATAAAAATAATGAAATCTTACTCTTTGTGACAGCATGGAAGGACCCAGAGGATACTAAGTGAAATAAGTCAGATAGAAAAAGACAAATACCATATGATTTCACTTATACGTGGAATCTAAGAAACAAATTAAATGAACCAACAAAACAGAAACAAACTCATAGATACAGAGAACCTACTGATGGATGCCAGATGGCAGGAGAGTTGCGGGACTGGGTGAAAAAGGTAAAGGATTAAGTACAAATTGTCAGTTACAAAATAATCATGAGGATGTAAAGTACAGCATAGGAAACATAGTCAACAATATTGTAATAACTGCATGGTGTCAGATTGGTAGTAGACTTCATAAGTTATACAAGTGTTTAACTACTATACTGTACACCTAAAACTGATATAATATTGAATGTTAACTGTAATGAAATATTTTTTAAATTTTTAAAAAGTTTACAATTTTCTATGTATTTTGAGATATGAGAAACTGACATAAAAATATCAGGGCTTTAAAAAATGTTTCAGATTTAAATCAAAGCATCTCCACTGTAAGAAAGATGGCATTTATGTAATTCATTTTTAGCTGTTGTGTAAAAATCCTTCATAGTGGCCCTGGCTAGGTAGCTCAGTTGGTTAGAGCATCCTCCTGACATGCTCAGCTTGTGGTTTTGATCTCCTGTCAGGGCACATACAAGAAGCAACCACTGAATACATAAATAACTAGAAAAACCGATGGATCTCTCTTTCTCTCTCTCTCTCTCTCTCTCTCTTCCTCTAAAAATCAACAAACAAATATTTGAAAAAATCCTTCACATAAAACACACCCTATTTGACATTAACCAAAGTCAAATCCAAGAATTTGATAACTTTTTAAAAGATCACATTTGTAATGATAATTTACTTTGTAAAATGTAACTTTTTCCATGTAACCATGAGAAACAGGTGGAAAGAAAAAAGACAATGGAAGTGTATCTTTATTCTTATTAATACAAACATAACAGTAAAAGTATCAGGTGAAGCATGGTCCTTCATGATTGGTACTGCATGAATGAGTCAGAAAAACAAGGCAGCTCATACCAAGTGGTTTGTTGTCTTGGCTCTAGTTGTTTGTTTCAACTGCCATATTCAGAATTTTAAGTGCACAATTTTCCAGTTTTCTGAGTTTTTTTGTCCTGTATCATCACAATGAGAAAGCTCTTGCATATAAACCAACTTTTTTATAACCTATAAATATCAGAAATTACTATACTTTTAACTTCAATCCAAATTTTATCAATTAAATTTTTTAAAAAAATTACCATTTACATTCAACATTATTGTGTATTGGTTTCAGGATCTTAGTTAGACAATCACATACTTTACAAAGTGTTTCCTAATATTTCAAGTACCCACCTGGCACCACATGTAGTTATTACAATATTTTTTACTATATTTCCTATGCTGTATTTTACACCCTCATGACTATTTTGTAACTACTAATCTGTACTTCTCACTTTTTTCACCCAGTCCCCCGAACCTCTTTCCCTTTCACAACCATCAGTTTGTTCTCTATATCTATGAGTCTGTTTCTGGTAGTGGGTTTTTTTTGTTGTTGTTCATTTATATTGTTCTTCAGATTCTGTGTATAAGTGAAATAATGTGGTATTTGTCTTCTCTGACTGATTTATTTCACTTAGCATAATGCTCCTCAGGTACATCTATGCTATTGCAAAAGGTAGGGTTTCGTTCTTTTTTATGGCTGAGTAATCCACTGAATATATGTATCACATCTTCTTTATCTAAATGTTGTCTATCAATGAATACTTAGGTTGCTTCCATATCTTGGCTATTAGAGGTAACACGACAATGAACACAGGGGTGCATGTATTCTTTTGAATTAGGGTTTTGGGTTTCTTTGGATATATAGCCAGAAGTAGAATTGCTGGATCATAAGGCAGGTCTATTTATAATTATTCTGAGGAACTTTTATACTGATTTCCATAATGGCTGTGGCAATCTGCATTCCCACCAACAGTATGCAAACGTTCCCTTTTCTCCACATCTTCACCATCACTTGTTTGTAGTTTTATTGACGATAGTCATTCTGCCAGTTTTGAGGTGCTATTTCGTTGTTGTTTTAATTTGCATTTCTCTGATGATTAGTGATGTTGAGCATCTTTTCATAAGTCTATTGTCTATCTGTGTTTTCTCTTCAGAAATGTGTCTATTCAGATCTTTTGTCCATGTTTTAATTGGTTCAATTCAAGTTTTAAATTTGTATTTAAATCTTTTATTATATAAAAGAGTTTTGTTTTTCTCTCTGGAGCAAATCTCACAATGTGAATTTACTGCCATGGTCAATTTTATATTGCAGTTAAACTGTTTCTCATTTTTCCCCATTTTACTAAAGTTATTTTCACTGGAATCAGTTCCAGATATGTAAACCTTAAACTGATGTTATGTTTCAGTATTATTTTTTTATCTTCATGACAAACAATAGCTATTAGGGCTTCTGACATTACGAGCTTTCTTTTGCAGTTAATTAACCAAGAACAATTTCTTTCTACACATACTTTGTGGGTAGATTTTGTCAAGAAAATTAAATTTTTTCATTAACTTTTAATAAATGATATATTTTTTACCATTTTTCTCTTTTTTCCTGTTTTCAATATTACTAATCAGTAGTTATTTTTTCAGTCAGATTTTACTCATAACAAAACTGTGTTCAGTTTTAGCCACTGTTAATTTAATTTTATATTAATTATTTCTATGAATTCCAGTTTTCCGTGTCAATCTGGTCATAATATCCTTGGCATTAAACTAGCCAAGCCTCCTCCCCGCAAAAAAACCCACAGACAATTATAGGCAACTATTCTGACATGTTTGGTGGTTTTATAAAACAGAATTTTACAAATGGAACTGACCTTAGGAATCACCTCATTCAATCCTCTCATTTTAGAAGCAGAAAACTATGGTGTAGAAAGGTTAAGTGACTTGCCCAAAGAGAAATCATGAATGCTCGAGCAAAGACAGTGATATATAGTGAGCATGGAGGCAATGGGAAGAAGTGATAAATATTATTGAGAGATCAAGGTCAGAACATGTTTGATTGGACAGTGGGACAAGGAAAAAGGACTAGTCTAGGATGATCTGGATTCCAGCCTGGGGTGATTGGGTGGATGTTGATGCCATTAACTGAGACAGGAACTATGTGAATAGGTTAGGTTTGAGGAAAAGGGTAGATAATGACATCAGTTTTCAATGTCAATTCTGAGATGCCAACTGGACATCTAAGTGGAACTTAAGTATTTAAATAAGATATTTTTTAAAGTCTTGGGTGGAGAGATTCACTTGGGAATTATCAGCTTATAGGTGGTAATCAAATGAGAGCAGACAGTCACCACCTGGGGAAAAGGAGGCAAAGTTGTGGCCTGTATATGTGTTTTGTTTGGTCCAAAACAGAAGTTTAACAAAATTCTAATTAGTGACCAACATTTAAAATTTTGGAGAGTTCATGTGTCTGTATATTGATTTCTCTTTAAAAATGAGAGGATATGAAATCACTGGACTAGCATTACCAGTTGGCAAAAATCAACTACAACTGAGGAGGGAGACCATGAGCTCCAGTTCTCCATAGTCTCTATCCAGGAGCTTCACTCCTTTGTGTTCCCTCCCTGGGTGCCCAAGTCTTTTGAATTTGCAGCTTCTGGTGTAACATAAGAAGATCAAGGTGGAAAAGGCTGAGGAAAAAGTAAAGAAAAAGGGGCCCCTTGATGGTAACTGAGGGGAGATGGTCAGGAAGGTAAAGAGGAGAACCAAGAGGGCTTGGTAACAAAGAAGGAAAGGGATTAGGGTTGAAAGGAGGAGAAACAGATCTTGTGAAGTATTAGAAACTGTTTTAGCTATACTGCCCAGCTATTTGCTCAAGCCCAAAATTTAGGAGTAATTTTTCACACCTTTCTTTTCCTTATCACCTTTATCTAATCAATCTCCAAGTCTGTTATATCCACCTCCAGATTTTTTCCTTGTATCAGTATTTGTCCATTTCTCTCCATCATTTCTTACCTGATCATTGCAAAAGCAACCCCTTTCTTTGCATCCTTTCTTATCTCCCCATACTTCTTTGTATGCGCAGCAGCCAGGATGACCTTATAAAACCAGGTCTTGTCACTCATGTGTTTGAAACTTTTCACTGGTTTCCATTACACTTAAGAGAATCATTCCCCTTACAATGACATAGAAAGTCTTTGCAAGATGAGGACTCTCCTTGCCTTGTTGATCTCATTTTCTATTCTTTCCCTAGCCCACTTTGTCCCTGTCTCAAGGACACCACATTCTGTCCTCTCTCCATACCTTTTGAACACACAGATACTTCTCTTAGTTCCTATTCCTTCAGATCTTTACAGAGCTGTCTTCTTTCCACAACGAGCCTCTTCAGAGGGCACCTCTTTGGCATCTCTAACTACAGGGGTACCGTCCTTCCTTTAGATTTTCAGCAACTTATTTTTCTTCCATACACTATGATCTCTAGAAAGCATATGTATCTGTTGAGACACTCAGTGTTTGCTTTCTCATCTAGAAAGTAATCTCCAGGAAGCTAGGCACAGTGTTTGTTCACCCGTGTATGCCAGACTCTGCACCAGTGCTTGCCTGGGACATAGAGGACTTGAATAAACTGTGGTGGAGTGAATACGTAAACGGCAGTCATATACGGCAGAGGTGGAGTAAAAAAAAAAAAAGAATAAAAAGTGCACTTTTGTATTTCAAAAACTTTTTTTCTCAAGTGCCACGGAGATTTTGCAATTAGGAGTAGTTTGTTGGTTAACAAGAGCAACACCAAGAGAATCCAATCTAGCAAAAACTGTTCAAGTCGTCCTGTCCGCGCCTGCGCATATTCCCCCCCAACCCGGGTTGCTCCGCCAAGCTCTTCCCCAGGGGTAGGGGACAGGCCTACTGCAATCCCGGCGCGCGTGGATGACGTCACAAGACGCGTGCCCCCGTAGCCCGTAGTAACCCTGAGTCTGCGGAAGTGGAGACCTTGGGGCAGACAGCTGAGACAGGTAACCTGTGCGGTTCTTGTTGGATCCCTGCTTTCTTCGTCTCCCGCCCTGGGCTGGCTGGGGGCACAGTAACATCCTGTTCTGAAGGCGACCGGGGGAGCTCGCTCCTAGTCTCATCTTTCTTCGGTTTCGGGGTCCCCATCTCATTCTTCCCAGACTCCTAGGAACTGAACCCGTCCTGGGGACTGGGGTGAGCGGCCACGTCTCCGCCTCCGCTCTCAGTGTGGTGATGGGCTCTGAGTCTCTCCCGGGTAGCGCAGACCTTTCCTCAGCCTGCAGCTGCCTCCTTCTTCCTCTCGCCTCCAGGCCCATCTCACCTAAACTCTCCGCTCCTAGCCCCGGAGGGTTCATCTCCAGTCTTGTTTAAGGAGACAAAACAGTTTCCGATTCTGTTTGTTTTCACGTGCAGTGAAACCCATCCACCACCAGTGCTCCTCCCCACTCCGCGCCCCCCTCCCCGCCCCGGCCCCAGGATCCTTACTGAGAGCATCAAGTTTTGAGTTTTGGTGTGCCTGAGGAGCATTCGTTCTCTGTCAGTCTGGAGTTTTGCTCAGTTATGCATGCATTTGTTGAGTAAGGGGGTGGCGCAGCAATGTTAAAATTTGTTGTGATAAATGATCAACATGGGATCCAATCACCTGTTAAGATGGAAGGAACAGTTATAGCATTTCATTTAAAAAAAACGCTCCTTGTTCCTGGATTTCTTTTTGGTTTTCAAGCAATGATAACAATTACGCTTGCAAAGGTTACCATCAAAATAAATAAGCAACAGAATTCTAGTGGAAATATTTAGACCGCAAAAACAAACAAATGAACAAAAACTAGTAGGATTCATATTGTTTGTAAAGGAAGAAAGATTATTACAAAACCAACCAGAAGAATTCTGAAATCTTTTATTTCATTGATGGTTTGGTTTTCTAGTTTCTTGTACTTTACTACACTCCATTTTTGAATAGGGCATGTCGTACTTAATATAATTCTGCAAAGCCCCCCAAATGACTTGCTAATTGGTAAGATTTGTTTCTTATATTCGGGGGACAAAGAAGATGTTTAGAGAATAATAGTAGCCACTCATTGTTGCCAATCTGTTATATCCCAGGGACTGTGGTCAACACTTCGCATGTGTTTTCCTGTTAGCTCACACAAGATTGTGTGTTAGGAATTGTTACCATCAATTTGCATAGGAGGAAGCTGAGGCTCAGTTCTGTGAAATTAACTCGCCAAATATTCATAGTAACTAAGTGGTGGACCCAAGCTGTAAGTTCAGGTTTGTGTATAACTACAAAGCCTTTTTTCCAAAATACGGTTTAAAAAAGTATTTTGACTGTTTTGGATTGAGAAGTTTTAAGTGTACTCAACAATTTCTTCTTGAATATTAAGTATACTAAACATATTTTAATTTTCCCTATGTCCCAGAGCAGTCATTTATGAATGTCATTTATTGTACTCTGTAGTAATATGATTTCCTAAAAGCTTTTCTTATATTGGACCCCCAAACTGTTTTTTGCATTTTGAGTTTGCCTGTACTTTATGTTGTCCATTCCTTAATGTCACCAAGAGATAGCAAACCACTGCAATTAAAAGCAGGGACTGGGAAACCACACCTCCAGGATTTAATTCCTAGATCAACCGAGTATGCTTATAGCAAGACAGTGGGCCAGGGCAAGGTAGTTGACACCTCTACACCTCAGTTTCCTCATTTGTGAAATAGAAATAATACTTTTGTTAGAACAAATCAGGCTTATCTTAAGAGCCACATATGTGTTTGCTAATACTGGGTGGGGCAAAAGTAGGTTACAATTGTGAGTACATGAAACAGTTTATTCTTGTATTATTATTTATTAATTATTGTTTTATTTTTCCTAGATATTTTTGTTTGAAAATTGCATTTTCTTCTTTGAAAATTGTTATTCCTTGAATGATACTTGATATATGATAATTATCAGTGTACTAGAGAAGTAAATTATTTTAACTGGAATCCCTTATCCTAAGCCATTTTAGGAAAATGTTAATTTATTAAGTTCACTTTTATCATTTTACTACAGCAATAAGCCTTTTTCTTGGAATGTTTGGAGTAGATATTTCAAATACTTCAATTTATTACATGTATCAAAATAATGGACTTTTAATTTCTGTTTTGAATTTGGAACATATTTCAGTGGTTTAAATTATGGTTTACCAGAAGATGGAAATCCTCTCTACTTTTGAATTGGATGTCAGTTGTTCACACATCTATTTATGGTGCCTTGAACAGGTGTACTTTCGCATTCATGTTCTCATGATTCTATGTGGGTAAGTACCTCCTTATAAAACCACCATTATACATGTGCCATTCATAAAGATATCTCTTCAGTATATTTCTCTTTCCTTTTCTCTCCCCCGTCAAGGAGCTAAAAAAAAAAAAAAAAAAAAAAAGGACTTTATCAACAAAGTGAAAAAATATTCCTTTTGAAATTTGCAAGATATCTACCCATTTCAGGAGTACATTTTAAACCAAGGCCAGCTAAGAGTTTATCCTGACTCCTTTGGTGTCCATAGTTAGGAGCTTGACAATAAGTGATGTATCCTTTATTTTAATACCATTAAGGTTAAAACTTCCTGTTGAAAATATAAGCTATATTTTTTAAAGATTTTTTTTGTTGTGGTAATTTACTATTTTAACCATTTTTAAGTGTACAGTTCATTGGCACTAAGCGCATTCACAATGTTGTTTAATTGTCATTATATTCCATTTCTAAAATTTTTAATTATCCCAAGTAAAAACTCTGTACTCATTAAACAATAAATCCCCTTGCCCCTCATTTTCTCCCCGCACCTCCTCTGCACTCCTGTTAACCCCTATTCTACTTTCATCTCTGAATTTCCCTATTCTAAGTACCACATACAGGTGGAGTCATGCACTATCCTTTTGTGTCTGGTTTATTACACTTAGCATGTTTTCAGGGTTTATCCATGTTTTAGCATATATCAGAATTTTTTTTTATGGATCAGTAATATTTCATTGTATGTATATACCATATGGTATAATTTTAATGCATATGAATTATGCTTTAATATTTTTCTTTATTTTCAAATTTATTTAAACTAAAATTTTTTTAAATTAATTAATTTATTTTTCCAAATACATTTGTCTCTGCATTTCCCCCACCACATTCCCTTGCCCCCTCCCCCATTTCCCTCCCTCAATCCTTCCCCACTTTGTTTTTGTCCATGAGTCCTTCCTATATGTTCCTTGACTTGCCCCTTCCCTTCCTTTTCCCATACCCACCCCTCCCTCCTTCCCTCTAGTCTCTGTTGGTTTCTTTTTCATTCAGTGTTGTGGGTCTTATTTTCCTTGCATCTTTGTTTTGTTGGTTAGATTCTGCTTATAGGTGAGATCATATGGAATTTGTCTTTCGCTCCCTGGCTTATTTCGCTTAGCATAATGCTCTCGAGTTCTATCCATGCTGTCGCAAAGTGTAGTAGTTCTCTTTTTTCTTTCTGCTGCATAGTATTCCATTGTGTAAATGTACCGTAATTTTCTGATCCAGTCATCTCTGATGGGCATTTAGGTTGCTTCCAGCACTTGGCTATTGTCAATTGTGCTGTAATGAACATTGGGGTGCATAGGTTCTTTTGAATTGACATTTTGGGGTACTTAGGGTATAGTCCCAGCAGGGGAATCCCTGGATCAAAAGGCAGTTCCATTTTCAGCTTTTTGAGGAAATTCCACACTGCTTTCCACAATGGCTGCACCAGTCTGCATTCCCACCAACAGTGTACTAGGGTTCCCTTTTCTCCACAGCCTCGCCAGCACCTGTTGTTAGTTGATCTGTTTATGATGGCCATTCTGACCGGTGTGAGGTGGTACCTCCTGGTGGTTTTGATCTGCATTTCTCTGATGGTTAGTGATGCCGAGTATCTTTTCAAATGCCTCTGGGCCCTCTGTATCTCTTCCTTGGAAAAGCGTCTGCCCAGGTCCTTTGCCCATTTTTTGACTGGATCATTTGTCTTCTTGGAATGGAGTCGAGTGAGTTCTTCATATATTTTGGAGATCAAACCTCTATCTGATGTATCATTAGCAAATATGTTTTCCTATACGGTTGGCCACCTTTTCATTTTGCTGATGTTTTCTTTAGCCATGCAGAAGCTTCTTAATTTGGTGAGATCCCACTTGTTTATTCTTTCCTTTATGTCCCTTGCTTTAGGAGACATATCGGTGAAAAAATTGCTGTGTGGGATATCTGAGAGTTTCCTGCCAATGTCCTCCTCTAGGACTTTTATGGTGTTGCGACTTATATTTAAGTCTTTTATCCATCTTGAGTTTATTTTTGTGTATGGTGTCAGCTGATGATCCAATTTCAATTTTTTTTGCATGTAGCTGTCCAGTTCTCCCAACACCATTTGTTGAAGAGGTTATTATTACTCCATTTTATGCTTCTGCCCCCTTTGTCAAATATTAGTTGCCCATAGAGACCTGGGCTTATTTCTGGGTTTTCTATTCTGTTCCACTAGTCTATGGGTCTCTTCTTGTGCCAGTACCAGATTGTTTTGAGTATAGTGGCTTTGTAATATAGTTTGATGTCCGGTATTGTGATCCCTCCTACTTTATTTTTCTTTCTCAAAATTGCTGCGGCTATTCAGGGTCATTTATGGTTCCATATAAATTTTTGAAATGTCTGTTCTTTTTCTGTGAAATACGTCATTGGTATCTTACTAGGGATTGCGTTGAATCTATAAATTGCTTTGGGTAGTATGGACATTTTGATGATATTAATTCTTTCAATCCATGAGCATGGTATATGCTTCCATTTATTTGTGTCTTCCTTAATTTCTTTCTTCAATGTTGTATAGTTTTCTGTACAGGTCTTTTACCTCTTTGGTTAAATTTATTCCTAGGTACTTTATTTTTCTTCTTGCTATATCGAATGGTATCTTTTTTCTGATTTTTTCTTCTTCTATTTCATTGCTGATGTACAAAACTGCCTTTGATTTCTGAATGTTGACTTTGTATCCTGCTG